AACTCCACACAGCCTGAGAGACAACACAACATCAGGTAAAGTAATTAAAATCATTTATTACATGCTATAATCAATGCATTAAATGTTGATTTCCACATGGTGCATTTTTGTACCCCTTTTGTTTTGTGTTTGTGTGTGTGTATTACTCACACATCTCATTGTAGCTCCTCCGAAGCCAATAATTCTGTTCAGCTTCAGAATGGGGTCAGGATACAACTTCTGAAATATAAACAGAGACCCTCCAAATGACCACAGCACACAAAAAGAGCCTAGTTGTAGATATACACACAGCTTTATCATGTAAACCTTGCTTTGACATGCATTTACGCTCTGTTAGTCTGTGTTTATGTGTGGTTAACCTGAGGTTTCTTCACTGGTTGGTCAGAAGACAGAGAGACAGGCCGAGGAGATGCTGCATTGATGACCTAAGAAGAAAGCTTTAGATTGTTTCTTCCAAATTCTTTTTGCTTTTAAAAGAGCAAATGTCTTGTTAGGATTTCAACTGAGGAAGCTAATCTTGTATCTACTTTACTTACTGTGATTTCCTCCTCACTGTCTGTCGTGTGAGTATAGACGTCATCCTCGCAATGAGCATATACGTGTACTCCAGCATCATCAGCATGCACTACTGTGACCTGTTCGTCTGCCTGCGACCTTTGACCCAGTGACCCCGGGCTCTCTGAGCCTCCAGAGTGTGCATAATTCAGCTCAGGCAGATGCTTTGTCTGGTTTGCTGAACGTTGCTTAGTGCGCTACACAGAGAGAAAGAAGAGAAAGAGAGAGAAAAGCCATTAGGGCTTGTAAATGTCAACATTATTTGCACTGGAAAGAAGGTCAGCTGAAGTTCACACATAAACACTCACTCTCGCAGGTTTGGGGGTGGTGATCTGCTGGATGAGGGAGACTCGGTCTTGTACAGGTTTTCTGATCTTTACAGCACGACTCTCTTCTCTTTGAGGACTTTTTTCGGCTGAGACTGTGGAGTGAGCATATGGTTTCATCAGATAAAATGCACAGTGTTGTCTGCGATTGTGTGTGTTTACATGCTCAAGAAGACTCACTTTTAGTTTCACTTCTGGATCCTTTTTGTATAGAATCAAATGGTAACTTTGTTCCATCTGAGGGAAACCTGTCAGTTACACACAAGAGGTTCTATGTTTGCAATAAACATTCTGAAACAATGAAATAACATTGGTATGTGAATCACTGACCTTATTTAAATGCACATCAATATTATCTAAATGCACATTAATAATTTAACAATATTCCATTTAGTATTCCGATTTCCACATTCATTTTATAGACAATATCCTGATTCCACAAATTCTGGAATATGCTTCTTTTAATCAGAAATTTGTTGCATGTAATTACCTTATGCATAAAATCCACTAAAAGAACCTGTCCTTGGTAGTGTTGTCAGGATTTTTTTTTTTGTTGAAAAGTGTTTGTAAAAAGTGCTTATTAAATTGTGCAAAAGTAATACAAAATTAATAACTGAGCATACTGTATAACGACAGCATCTTGAATCTCTCAGGAAAGTTAATAGTTAATAGACCTTAAATGGAAAGAGATGTGCACGTAAACATAGTCATTGTTGAATATCAAGTGAAAATGAGCAGGTTAAACCTATACGGACAACCTATTAACTCCAAAAGGTTTATTAAAGAAATAGTTCACCAAAAATGAACATCTGAAACTATTCCTTTAAGCAAGGTGTTTATTTAACATAAATGTGTATTCCTAGTTCTCCACAACAGGTTACACTCACCTAATGTAATCATATAAGTCGTGCCATCTCTGGCCTTTTGGCACAGGGAAACACATTTCTCTGGGCATCGGTGCAGTGCAATCTGGCAACATCACACCAGATTGCCTGAACTCAGAGAATGACAGAGGAAAATGAAGGGAAATCCACAACAAAATTAGTTTTTGTTGATTAACAAGCAGATATGTAACACTTGGTGGAATTTATAGAGACTGGCGGTGTGCTTTGAGTTAATGGACCAAGCATATGTGGCATTCTCAAATAAACTGTAGTCTGCATGGTTCATGCGTTTTTACTAAATAGCTTTTTGATCATGAAAAGAACAAGTGTAAATGCCCTTCAAGACTCATTTAAGGCTAATTAATTTTAGGATTTCAGGAGAATGTGTAAATTCACATGGTTATTTAGGCCAAGGGGTTTTCAAACTGGGGGCTCTGGGGGGTGCTGGAGGGTCTGTGTGGGAAAAAAAAAAAAAAAAAAAAGATTATTATGTAATGATAATAATAAATGTAATTTATATAGCAACTTTATAGAGTGCAAAGACGATATACAATTAGCTAGACAATAATCAACCATAACAGACACAACCACACATGCACAATCAAGATAGAAATGTACCGGGGTCAAACAGCAGGTCGCTGGTGATGATGTTTTTAACAGACATATTGGCACAGAGTTTGACGCTCTTTAGGTGACTGTGGGTTCTGTTGAGGTAAACCGAGAGCACATAACATAGATCCATTGTCAAGCACGTCCACCTCGTGCTCGGCGGCGCTGGGCCCACTAAACCTGAAATGCACAAGTTATCAATCAGTAACTACAAAAAATGCTTGCTGCATGTAGAAAACATCATAATAAAAAACAGAAAGTGTGAGATACCTTGTTTAGCAGTACAGGCCGTATTCTCAGACACTGAACCGTGTGCAGCTCCACACAGAAAAGGGAACTGCAGCCATGTCACCGTAGACTTGAACTCTTTGAACATGTTAGAGAACGACACACGGATCACCTGACCCTCCTGAATGATGAACAAAACAACAAAGAGTGATAATCATCATACACACATGTGTAGATCAGTATAATTACATCAACCAGGTATACGGAACAATGTTTATATTGTTAGTTAAAACTAAAGAAATTAAAAATAATTTTTGGTCATTGAAAAAAAGCTGAAATAAAAGAAAAATATTAGATGAACAACTTGAAAATGAGAGATTTTGCTTTGGCGACTGATTGAAATAAGTTTAAGTTGAGGAGCTAAAATGACTAAAACTAAAACCTTAATAATAAATTAATTAAAACTATGTAGAAATATAAAAAATATATACAACAAAAATGTCAAATTACAAAAAAAAAATATTAAAATTAAAACTGAAAATATAAAAATATTTTTCCTGAATGATAAACAAAGTAACAAAGAGTGATAAATCAAAAGAAAAATTATCAAAATATATGCATATAATCATTATAATAGCAATACTATCAAAGGCCTTATTTGTAAACATAGAAATGTACATGAAAGTCTGCATCATTACATAATTATTCACATAAAACTACACTTTTCACCTCAGCAGCAATGTCTAGGTGCACAATGAAGTGTTTGTTTGGGCTGGGTCTGAATAGCAGGTAAAGGTACTGTCCGGTGAGACCCAGAGACTGGCTGCTGGTTTTGGGCAGGAGGATGTAGTTACTGGCCGGTATAGAGCCGCGGATCCGGAACACAGAACACTTCAGGCTCTTATCCTACCAATAAACAATACAGTACAATATGATAAATATATGAATACAAAAACTGAATGCTAATGAGAATCCTCTGCAGCAACAACATCATATTATAGTTTCATAAGAAAGGAACAACCGCCTACCATGTATGTGGTGACGTCTCCCTCTTTGCTGACTTTCTTCCATTCTTCTATCTTCATGTGTTTTAAGATATTCACATACGGCTGCTGCCACAGAGCTGATGGAGAGATAAAGGTACATCAATCACTGCTGTATGTTTATTTTAGACACACCCCCCTCTGCATGTGTGCTGTACATAGTTAACAGCATTGTGAGAGGGGGCAAGTTTAGATAAATCAGTGTAAAAAATGTATAATAACTAAATAATAAAAATAAGATTAAACTATAAAAAATTTATAAAGTAAATAAATGTTTAAATAAATTAATAGTACCAACCCCAAACAGTACTAGAGTGAGTTGAAACAAAATTATATTAATAATAAATTAAAATAAATAAACATAATAATAATATTAGCTACAAACGTAAGATAATAGAAAATAAACATTTTCCAAATAATATTTAACACATATTTATAATGTTAATTTTTCACAGACTAAATACACGAAAACATATAGCTGCCTTTTAAATATTATGGGGTCCATGACATCTGAAAGGTTAAGAACCTCTTGAGTATGGTATAAAATCTGTACTGTTCTGCTCTGTACATTTCAAATTGTATTATACTGATTTGAAGATTGTTATGCTGCATTGTATATGTACATATTGGGCTGTAGTGTATATTCCATCTTTTAACGAACAAATTAACTCAGTCCAGGTCTATTTCAGATGCTTATTACTCATTAAAGTGTTTAATAGGTAATGTAATCTTACCTCTGGATGACATTATTCTTTACTTCGCAGCTCTAATTCACCTGTTGACAGCTAACGGACTGTACTTTAGCTCACAAACTACCAGGAATTAACTGACTTCCGTCTCCTACGAGTCCAGAAAGATTTTATCCATAACAGCACCTCATTTTATCGTCGTACAGAGTTTAATTTTCGGTTTTGGTCGCAGTTATGGGGGTTTTGAAGTCTGTGAGTTTGTTGTGCTGTTGATGAACCGCGCTTCTGCTCGCGCTGCAGAGACCGCCGCGACGCGTTCGAACGGCATGACGTAAGCCGTACGTCATCATGACCAAAACCGTGAATCACTGAAAGACAGGCAATGCAGAAAAATATAATTTTATTTTATTTATACGCATGTTTTAATCATTATGGGGACATTTCATGTACATAAGCAGAAGTGGACAGGGGATGTTTGAAATTGTGTACAATTTATCTATTCTCGCAAAATATACGACAGCTTTTGAGAAAATTGAGGAAATAATAATGCAAAGAGAATTTCGTTGTTGTTGTTTAATATGTCTTGTTTTGTGAATTAACTGTTTATTGAACATTCTAGGTGTTGTTTGTTTGTTAATATATAATATCTAAAAAAAAAATCCACTAATCTCCTTTATGAAAAAATGTATGCCTCTTCTATTATATACCTGGGTACCAGGCGTAAATGGCTGTACTGTAAAAATGGTTGTACTTTAATTTCGCGAGAAAATAATCTTCAGATGAACGTCCTCTGAAAACGCGTTTCCAAATTGCAATGTTGTTTGTTCTTCTTGCGCTCCCGTAGCTCCATATGGCTGCCATAGTGACGAACGCAGCAACCGACGCTTACGAAAGGCAAGATTTCCGCTGTTTTATGCTAATTATCGCTCTTATGTGACCAGATTTACGATTAAAACAGTACCGGTTTGTTATAATTCTCGATTAACAGCATTTGTATATGAATTTTAGAGCGAACGATGATCGTTGTTCATCAAACTAGCTTAACTGCTATTATCTGATGTGGCTTGTTGTAATTCGTTTGTTTTTCATTGAACATGAAGTTATTCATATATTAATGCATAATTGTTGAGAGATATTCGCTTTCGATTAGATTTGAGGTCTTATTAAGCGCGTTAACAATTTAATTGTATTGCTTTTAGTGGAATGTGTCCTTTTTCTTCTTGTCTAACAGGTGAAAGTTGTGTTTACTGAATAAAAGACAGCAGTCATGTCTTTTAGAGATCTGAGAAGTAAGTGAACTAAAAAGGGACTCTTATAAAATGTATATATATATATATATATAAAAAACATGTTTCAGTATGTGGTCATGAAGAATCATAGAAATGAGCAGCTGTTGTGTAATCAGATACTATTTCAATAGAAAAGTAAGCTTATGCTAATGCATGCATGAAAATGTGTATGAATATTAGTAGAACAGTATGTTCTGATTTGGATATGTAGATTTTACAGAGATGATGCGAACACTCGGCTACCCTCGGCTCATTTCAATGGAGAACTTCAGATCTCCTAACTTCCCTTTAGTAGCTGAAATCCTCATCTGGCTTGTTAAGAGGTAAGATATATTAATATATTATATTATGTGTGTTTTAAAACAGACCAAGGGTGGCAGAGAGATACCATGTTTTCTATGTCTGATATGGATGTTTAACACTTTATTTTTTAATTCATGATTTTATTTTTTTTAATATATATATATATATATATATATATATATA